GTAGCCAGAACTACAGGCATGTGCTACCATGCCCAGCTGATTTTTGATTTATTGTAGAGAAGAGGTCTCACCAAGTTGCCCAGGCTAGTCTTGAACCTGCGGGCTCGGGCAGTCCACTTGCCTCGGCCTCCCAAAGTGCTAGGATGACAGGCTGAGCCACTGAGCCCAGTCTGGCTGAACCTTCTTAAGCTCATCTGCTGGACCCTGCTCCTCTCCATGCTGGAAAATCTCAGGACTCTGTACTTGGGCTTTCTGCCCCTACGTTTCCATTCTCTCTCTAGAGAAACTCGGTCCAGCCTCACAGCTTTGAATACCATCTATACAGTGTTGACTCTTAAACTTATACTTGAACCTCCCTCATCAACTCCAGACGTGTATATCCAACTGCCTACACATCCTTGAACACCTACTGGGTGGGATGTCCCAGACCTATCAGATCCAAGACTGAGCCTGGGAGAGCACCAAGATCTCCAGTCTGTTCTTCCCACAGTCTTCTCCTCCATGAGAAAGTGTGGTTACATGAGGGAACGCCAGAATTCATGCTCTTGTATTCTCTCCTTCTCTTCCATCTAGGATGGATCTGTGACCGACTTTAATCAAGAAAGTGGAAGAAAACCTGTGCCCATTTGCAGCCTGAGTCTTGTTTTTTTTTTGAGTTGGAGTCTCACTCCATCACCCAGGCTGAAGTGTAGTGGCATGCTCACGGCCACCCCAGTGTCGACCTGCTGGGCTCCGGAGATCTTTCCGCGTCAGCCTTCCGAGTAGCCAGAACTACAGGCGTGAGCTGCCACACCCGGCTAATTTTTTATTTATTGTTGAGATGAGGTCTCACCAAGTTGCCCGAGTGGTCTCAAACCCACAGACTCAGGCAATCCACTCACCTCGGCCTCCCAAAGTGCTGGGATTACAGGATGAGCCACCGAGCCTGGCCTGCAGCCTAAGTCTTAAGAAGGCTTATCTGACACCACCACCCCCCACGCCTTTTTCCTCTTAGGAGCCTTGAGCTGCTATTCAAGAAGCCTGGCCATCCAGATGGAGAAACCACATAGAAAGAATACATGGAGAGAGAAAGTTCCTAATACTTCATGGAGAGAGGGGGACCCAGCTGCTCCGGCCAAGTCCAAACCACAACCAATTCACCAGCTGACATCAGGCACATGCGTGGCCATTGGCAAGACCAGCAGAAGAACGGCCCAGCTGAGCCCATCCCAGATGACATAACCATGAATAAATAAAATGATTATTGTTTTAAGCTACTAAGTTTTGGGGCGGTTAGATATTAGCAATAATCACCGAAACGATGGCAACTCTAATTATTACTGTTCTAGTTGCTCAGGCCAAAACCTTACAAGTTATCTTTTATGCCTCTCTTTCTCTTATACCGGACTTCAATCCCACATGCAAACCATACTGGCACTATTGTGCAAGTACATCTAGAATCCACCCCTGGCACTGTGTCGCCATCATCTCTACCTGGGTGACTACAGTAGCTCCTTCCTGCTTCTATCCTTACCCCTGCTGTCCCCCAGGCCAGTCATCCTTCCTCAGTCTACTTTCCACAAAAGAGTCAAAATACCCCTTTAAAAATACAAGGCCAAGCCGGGCTCGGTGGCTCAGCCTGTAATCCCGCGCCTTTGGGAGGCTGAGGTGAGTGGATTGCCTGAGCCCGCGGGTTCGAGACCCACCTGGGCAGCGAGACCTCATCTCTACAGTAAATCAAAAATTCAGTCAGGCATGGTAGCGCATGCCTGTAATTCCGGCTACTGGGAAGGCTGAGGCGGAAGGATCGCCGGAGCCCAGCAGGTCGAGGCTGCGGTGGCCGGGAGCAGCCACTGCACTCCAGTCTGGGCGACAGAGTGAGACTCCGACTCAAAAAAAAAAAAAAAGAAATACAAGACCACACATTCCTTCACGCAAAACCCTCCAGTGGCCACCCATACCACTCAGAATATCAATATCCTATGAGGCCCTGTGATCCACTCCCTGGTCTCACCAACCTTCTCTCCCACCAGCCCTAACAAGCTCATTGGGCTCCAGCCACACAGGCCTCTCCGCTCATCCCCAAATGCCAAACAAGGTCCGTCTGGGGCCTTTGTGACTCCGCAACCCCTCTGGGAGAGCACTGTTCCCTAGAGAGTCACATGGCTGACTCTCATTTTAATCCAGTCTCTACTCAAATGTGACCTAAGAGAATCCTACCCTGGCCAATTAATCTGCAGAGCTCGGCCCACTCCTCATCACCGGCCACTCTCCCTACTATGATCTATTTCTCTTTGTTGCCCCCCCCCTTCTTCTTCTTTTGTAGAGATGAGTCTCACTTTATTGCCCAGGCTGTTTTTGAACACCTTAGCTCAAAGGATCCTCCTACCTCGGCCTTCCAAAGTGCTAGGAACACAGGCATGAGCCACTGTGCCCAACCCCATCTACATCTCTCTCTCTCTCTCTCTCTTTCTCTCTCTCTCTCTCTCGCTCTCTCTCTCTCTCTCTCTCTCTCTCTCGTTTCTCGTGTCTCCTTCCCTCCTCACACAGGCTCTTCAGGGATTCCAAAAGTTCTGCTGCACTCCCGCTGTCTGGAACCGTATTTGGCACGTGCAGTGCTCAATAAATGAATACTACCTGCGTGGACATACTCATTAGTGTTCGTTGCCTTTTCACATCCCCGAATACTAGGTTAAAATGGGCCCACACCCCTGAGCTCAATATGTGCACATTCATTTGCATCTTTGAAAGTTTGCAACTGAAAGGTTCTTAGGTAGGGGACTCACTGTACTTGTTTTATGGAGAGAGGCTGGGGCCTCATCCTTGAGTTGAAGAATGTTCTACCTGCGGGGTGCCCTGGGCATCAGACACCACTCCTGCTAAGTTCTCCCACTGCCAGTTTAGTACAAGCTTAACTTGATGACACGGGCAAGACCAAGAAGAGAAAAAGGAGATGGCAGAGAGAGGAAAAAACCTCACCACCTTTACGTGACTCCAGGCAACAAACTCCAAGAGACTTCCTGGGAGCAGGAAGGTTGATCCCCTTCTCTCATGAGCACCATGGCTGGTCCCATTTTCCCTTGAACTTTGAATAACAGCTTCTTCCCGTCAAGTTAATAAACTATAGACTGGAAGCGTTTCTCTTTTAGGTACTCAACTGAGTACTGGATAAACGCAACATTTGCTCTTTTAGGAAGAGGCCATGGCTCCAGAAATGCGAAGCAATCATATCCTTATAAAATAATAATAACTACAAAACATACAGTTCTAATGATGACTCTCTTGTTACATAAAAATAGAGTCATCGCCGTGATGTCTCCCAGACGCTCCACTGGCCATCACATCGTCCCCTCAGCATTTTATTCTCTCTCTACATCTGACCTCGGCAATTTCAATTTCTCCTCCACCATCCACAATTCTGGGTCCGAGTTTTGCAAACATTAAAAAAAAATACAATCTCCCATGAGAATACGTTTCGCCTCGTGACCCAGTGACACACCTCTCCAAAGAACTAAAATAAAAGCTCCGTGCGCAGTGCGCCCTGGCATTTTCTATTGTACTTTAGTTCATGTTTTGGAAATGATGGTCTGACCCCACCCGGTTGGTTTTTCAACCCAGTGGAGAGTCACGAGCCAGTCGGGGAACGTTGTGATTTCAGATCGTTCTCGCACACATGATCTCCATCCTCCTTTGCCAGCTTTCACTCAAGCCCCATCCAAGTAGCTACACAAGCCACAAGAACAAAAATAGGCAGCTTTTTAACAGCCGAGCACTCACATGATCCCTCTTGCAGAAGAGTGACAAGAATGACACAGCCAGAGGACTGAGAGGAAGGGAAGGAACTGCAGCGTGGGGAGCGGGCCTCGGCAGCTGGGCGTGCAAGGAAGGGGACGGCTGGGGGAGGGAATTTTCTATGTCTGGCACCCCCCGTGTGGGCCTATGTTTCTCCCAGAATAGCAGACACACCCGCCTTCAAATCTCATGAAGGCATTTCGAGAAAAGGTTTGTCTGTCGTCTCTGAGGCTCCTGTCTCCTCTGCCCCTCTCCTATCTTCTGGAAAGGGTCGGTGGCCACGCTCTGTCCTCTTCATCCTCACAGAAGCCTGCACACCTCTCTGTTCTCTGGCCTTCTGCCCAGCCTGAGGTGAACTCATGGGACCCAGACCCTTCACTGCAGCCAAACAGCCAGCATCCCCCCTAGGGCTGTCTCTCCCTAGCCCGCACCTTCAGGAGGGCGAGCGTTTCCGGCGTGTCCACGTTTTTCTCTGGCTGGCCTTCAGGATCTAGAAAGGCATGTCCAGCCTGTGGCCCATGGGCTGCAGGCAGCCTGGAACAGCTAGTAATGTGGCCCCACGAAATCTTTCAACATCATGTGTATTTTAGCATTTCTTTTTTTCTCTTTCTTTCAGATGACAAAATATAGCTTATTTAGAAAGTAAATTGGAGAGAGAGAGAAGGAGGGGATTCACCTCCCCAAGGGAGGGGAGGGGGCCAAAGCTTAAGAAAACATGGCCTGGCCATGGCTCAAAGAGCACAGGGCCGCACCATAACTTAGCAAGGCAAGGGCCAGCATTTATTTTCCTTGTGGCCCCATGTGGTTTCCATTTTGAAGTTTACAATCACACCCCATTCACGACATCGCTTTTCAGCAGCACATACACTTGTGAGCAGCTGTTTTCAATTATGAAGCCACGGAAAGCAAAATTCAAACAAACATTTCTGACGAGCACCTTGAGAGCTAGCACGAAGAATTGTGATCACTTCTGTTGAAACAGACATTGATAAATTAGTTTTATCAAAACAAGGCTAAATTTCCCACTAGTTTTATATTGTTCTCATTTTTCTAAACTTTATAATAAAAAGTATGTTTAAAAAAAGAAGTCTTATTATATATATACGCTAACTATATCACATAATTTTTGTGTGGCCCAAGACAATTCCTCTTCATTCAGTGTGGCCCAGGGAAAAGCCAAAAGGTTGGATACCCCTGATACCCTCTCCCTACAGGCCACACCTATCTCTCTGCCCCACGGTGGGTCCCCTGCCCCACCACACGACATAGCACTTCAGGAGAATAAGAGGACGACACCTGCTAGGAGCCTAGCACCAGGCTAGGTCCCCTGCACGCCACCTCCAATCCTCACACCACCTGTCAGGGAGGCGTCATGACCGGCGAACAGGCTGGGCTGGAACCCAGGGAGGCCAAGGCTCTCTTCACCACCCCACCGTGCCCAGTGACATCGCACAAACTTTCGGCTACACACACAGCCGCCTTTCCTGCTTGCCTCCGGAGTAAGCCGGAGCTAGAGAGGGGAGATGATGTAAGACCCTCCCCCCTATCGGTGGCCAGGATGCTGGGGTCTCTCTCGAGGAGGCCTCTCATGAAGCGTCCCACCTGCACCGAGCACCAAGAAGAATTGGTTCCACCCCTACCCAACCACGGGATTTGCTTCTCTACACGTGGACAACTTGGGTCACCCATATGGCTGCCCTGGGGACCAGTTGTCAAAGGCGAGGACAGCCCATAGCAAGTCATGACGTGAGGCTGGGCGGGCACAAGGCCTTGTTCCTGGCTCCACCACTTCCCTTCCTCCCGCCTTCTCTCTGTGGATATCGTGCCACAGCTATCCATACAGGCCAGCCCCAGTCTTCTTAGAACACAGCCGGAAATAGAGAAATACTACCTCCAATTGTGCTTATTCTCTCATATGCTTTCTCGGACATTCTCCCTGCCCCTGAAGAGTTGAAGCTCCTCCAAAGAATCAAAGGAGGCTGGGTGTGGTGACTTAAGCCTGCAATCCCAGCACTTTGGGAGGCAGAGGCGAGAGGAGTGCCTGGGCCCAGGTTCAAGACCAGCCTGGGTAACATAGAGAGACCTCGTCTCTATAAAAATAAAAAAACAGGCCAGGCTCGGTGGCTCAGCCTGTAATCCCAGCACTTTGGGAGGCTGAAGCGAGATAATTGCCTGAGCCCACAGGTTCGAGACCAACCAACTTGGCGAGACCTCGTCTCTACAATAAATCAAAAAATTAGCCGGGCACGGGAGCGTGCGCCTGTTGTTCCGGCTACTTAAAAGGCTGAGGCGGAAGGATCGCTGGAGCTCTACAAGTCAATGCTGGGGTGGCCGTGAGCATGCCACTGCACTCCAGCCTGGGTGACGGAGCGAGACCCCCAACTAAATAAACAAATAAATAAATGATAAAACATTAAACTGGGCGTGGTGGTGCACACCTGTAGCCCCAGCAACTCGGGAGGCTAAGGCAGAACGGTCACCTGAGCCCAGGAGGTAGAGGCTGCAGTGAGCTGTGAGCATGCCACTGCACTCCAGCCTGGGTGACGGAGTGAAATCAAAAATAAAAATAAAAACAAAGGCAGGGCTCTCCAGCTCGAGGGATGAGCCTTTACGTACCCATGTCCTTTGAAACTGTACCTGCAGTGTCCACCCTTGAAAGCCATCCTGGCCTCTCCCCCGCTCTCCTCCAACCTCGCCACAATGAAAAGAATGTGCACAGCAGAGGCCCGAGGACAGGGCGAGAGCCCACACAACCGGGGGCGGGGCGGGGCATGCCAGCCTACCTTGGTCAGGTCCATTCCGAGCTTGAGTTGTGAAATGAGATGAAGGATGACACTCCGCTGATCCTCCATGACTCCCAACTCCGTCTCTTCCTTCTCTTCGTTATCGCTTTGCTCGTCTTCAGACAAAACCAACTCAGGGCCCGAGTTTGGCTAAAAGGAAATCAGCAACAAAAATCACCAGCTGGCCCAGCAGATGTTAGAAACGCGGGGCGTGAATTCACGGGCCCCACGACCACAGAAGGGGCCAATCCCGTCCCCGGACGATCTGTCTGTCAACCTGGCCTACTGGCCATGGGCAGAAGCTGAGCCTCCCTGGGGCACGGGCCCTGGGCTTCTGCAACCGCACGTGCCTCTCACCTTCCCCGGCATCCCCATGAGTGAGGCGCCTGGCTAAGGACTTCCCTCGACAGAAAAGCTCCCTGATCTCTAACTCTTTAAGAAGCTACGCAGAGGCCGGGCTCGGTGGCTCGGCCTGTAACCCCAGCACTTCGGGAGGCCGAGGCGAGTGGATCGCCTGAGCCTGCGGGTTCGCGACCCACCCGGGGAACTTGGTGAGACCTCGTCTCTACAGTAAATCAAAAACTAGCCGGGCATGGTAGTACACGCCTGTCGTTCCAGCTGCTCGGAAGGCTGAGGCAGAAGGATCGCCAGAGCCCAGCAGGTTGAGGCTGCGGTGGCCGGGAGCGTGCCACTGCCCTCCAGCCTGGGTGACAGAGTGAGATTCCAACTCAAGAAAAGAAAAAGAAACTACACATATTATATAAGCACGAGCCTCCCTAATTTCACCTATTATCAAACAATTCCTATGAACTCGCACAGCCCAGGACACTTTTTATCTAACGTAATTTTTTGTTTCTAAATAAAAGTTGGATTCCCCTGGCACTGACTAAAATTACCTTATTTATGAAAAAAAAAAAGTGCTCGGAGACTGTTTGTATTCACATCGTCTGTTAGGCTTGCTATGGCAAAGGTAAGAAAAGTCATTCATTTAGGGAGGGAGACAGAAATAAAAATGTAAGGAAGATCTTTCAAAACTTTATAACACTTGGTTTGTGCTGGCCCACAGACCCTGCTTTCCTCAATGTGAGTTTGTTCATTTCAATTGCTCAATTCCAAATTGCTCAAATTCCATGGAAAATAGGTAAGTTAATAAACTATGTAAGGGGGATTACTGAGTAAAAAATTTTCCAGTACCTAGGCCAGGCTCAGTGGCTCATCCTGTAATCCCAGGGCTTCTGTAACCGCTTTTTGGGAGGCCGAGGCAAGTAGATTGCCTGAGCCTGTGGGTTCAAGACCAGCCTGGGCAACTTGGCAAGACCTCACCTCCACAATAAATCAAAAATTAGCTGGGCATGGTAGGGTATGCCTATAGTTTCCAGCTACTTGGAAGACTGAGGAGGAAGGATAGCCAGATCCCAGCAGGTTGACCCTGGGGTGGCCATGAGCATGCTACTGCATTCCAGCCTGGGCGACAGTGTGAGATTCCAACTCAAAAAAATAAAATAAAATTTCCAGTACCCAAGTGTGAAGAACTCTGGCTACTGTACAAAGTTGTCCTCGGAATTCTGTTGAAAGAAGTCACCCTATCCCCACACTCCATCATTTATATTCTCAGGGCACTGCTTATACAGCAGCCTGAGCACTTTGCATGGAACAGTAGACATTCGTGTCCATTGTCAACGGCAGATCAGACACAATGAACTTAATATACAGACACCCAGGAGCTCAAAGGTACTAAGTGTGAAAGGATGCAGATTTGCCTAAATGTCCAGACAAAAGAACAAATGATTTATGAACCTCATTAAACAGAATCATCTCATATCTGAAGGCACGTCCAGCGCACAAAGGTCGTTTTAGTAGCCAAGGCATCTGTCATTGGCCTCATATACACATGCCGGTCATTCCTTACCCAGAGGAATGAGAGGGGCAAGAACAGTGGATCCTTCCCTCCTGGGGTAGGCATTTTTCAAATTTCAAGTTAAACACACATTTTTCCATAGACATACTCCCAAGTGGCAATACTCCCCAAGTATTCTCCAGTGTCCTCTAAACAACCCTAGTTCTGAAGAGGTGGTTGGGAATGCCTCAGTGAAGCCCACAAAGGCTTCCCCCAGCCAAGAGCTGGGTTTCTTCCATCACAAGCCTGATTCTCCAGCCTCCTCATAACGGGTAGTATCGGGCATCACTGGCAAGTTGTTTCTCAAGAATATACCAAAATGACTGAGGAAAGCTTACCTGTCCTGTCCCTGAGAGGACCGGCCCAAGGGAAGTCTGGGATCCACGGGCTGCCCTGATTCTCATTCTGGGAGGCCAGGGGTAGGAGCCCAGCATGGACAGCCAGCGGTCCTGAGACCTCGCCCCCACTCTGCCTGATGACACCCTGTCTGCTGTGACACCGCGGTGGCTGCCAAGGCCCCTGGAGCCAGGAGCCTGAACAGTCCAAGCTGGGACGGGCAGGGTTCCCCTTCTGCCTCTCCTATCCTCTGGATATGGGGTCAGTTGTAAAGAGAGTAGCTATCTCTGTTCCCTGCAAGCTTGCATTTCCCATTGATGCCACAGAAGTCAGAGAACCCAGACACAATCCCTCCAGAGGGCAAAGGTGCCCGCTGCTACTTCCTTGGCAATGACCCGGTGGTGGGTTTCTGTATCAGCAGAAACCCTCTCACCCCCGGGTCAGCTGGGGAGGAGAGACCAGTGCCCGGGCATGCTGCTTTCGGAGGAAAAAGTGACATTGAGCCACCACGGTGGGCCGGGCTGCCGTCGCTGTGCATCTCAGTGAGGGGGACGGCTGCGCTCTAAGCGTGTTGATTCCCGCTTGGAATGAGCCGATCTCACCCAGCATGGACTGTGAACTAAACAAGTCAATCGCACAAGTGAGGCTGCCATAAGCTGCACAGAGCAAAGAATGACTCATTCTCCTAAAGACGTGGCTTCCCACTAGCTCAAGAGTCAGCGCACGGGGAAATCCTCATCTTCCCACTCATGGCACGCTCCACGTGACGGGTTTACACACCACCCGGGCCACGCCTCCTCCAGCTGTCTGCCTTCCTCAAAGATCCAGCTCAGCTCGTTCCTGACTCCCGGCAGCCAGGAAGCCCTCTGCAAGATTCAGCCACATGGCACGCAGTCCATACATGACTGCGAACACAAGTTTCTCCCACGCTTCCCACGTTAAGTCAATATCACGCGTCCTGGGTGACAGAAGATGCGTCTCAATGACACTGGCTCCAGCGGGAAGCATAAAGGTGGCGCACAGGCCCCAGAAGCTGAGTCATCGGGACAACTGGGGACCCTGAAGCCCTATCTGGGGAGGAAGGGTCATGCGGAGCCTGACAGAGTCCCTCAGTGGCACCGATCCCTAGCAAGTCGGGCTCTGACCTGAAACAAGGACCCAGCATGTTGTGTCTCTCTGAAAAGCTGCCCTTTCTCTTCTAGTATGATTTGTAAATAATTCTCCGGTCCAACTTCATGAAAAGGAAACAGAGCTCGGCAGGTCTCACGCCTCACGTTGATGGTAAACCCCTCAGGGGACACTTCTGTTCTACCTGCAATGGAGTTCAGTCCATCTGTGGAAAGACAAGACCCCCCTCGCCCCGCCCATACTGTGGGTTCAAGTTGCAAGTGCATGGATAGAAAAGTGGGATTGCTCAACAGGTCAGCTTAGTCTAAAAGAGGTTGCAAATCTTTCGGCCTCCACCGTCAGCAAGCACAGCAGGGAAAGGCAGGCTTGAAGAACCAGACTTCGATGGAGTTTAAAGACACAAAACCTCCTTCCCATTTAGGGTCAAGGGCTCACTGATCCTGCCACTCTGATGTGGAATCCAAAGATATTGACAATTGTCACTCGATCCAAGGGCTGCTTTCCATAATTGGACCCATGTGCTCACCCACATCCTCAACCTACTCCCCTTATAAAGTTCTGCCTCCCCCCCTGGGGACCCCTGCACGCCCACCTCCTCTGAATCTCCGTGGATTTTCACTTACAAAGCAGTAACAACTGCCTTGAGGTGATCAAAGATGGCAGAACGGTGTTTCTCCACCTCAGAAGAAAAATGAACGCTGAGAAATGGTTTTATTACTAGAATGCTGAGAAACTGTGTAAGACTTAGGCAAGAAAGAAGGGTCTTCAGACCTTCCAACCCTCTGAGGGCTTCGCAAATGAGCCGGCCCAGCCACAAAAATGGACGCAAACTTGAAGATGAAATGGAATTAAGATATGTTTTAAAGAGAAGCAGGATTTTAATAAAAACAAAAATTATGACTCCCTCTTTCTACCACACAAGCCCCTCTGGGCATATGGCGCAGAAAACATCAAGTGACTCATGCTTATTAGCAAATGTGGGGAAAGAAAAGTGAATATCTGATGGACAGGAAAAGGTTTCGTGGGCAGGTTGGTGCTTAGGGACATTCCCTGGTGATCCGGCAGTCACCTGTGCCCCGAGCAAGGGTTCTTGACCTGGGCCCCATGGACGGTCTGTAAGATACCCACTGCCGTTTTTGAAATTTTATGCAAGGATTTTGTGTCTGGGCATTTTTCTGAAGAGGCTCCATCGTTCTCCTTAGGGTCTAGGAAGAGTCTCTGCCCCTTAGCTCACTTCAGGCCTCTTGAGGACCAAAGGGTGAGGCCATATAAGAGGTGGGCTCTTGGGGTGGAAAAGATCTAATCAAAGAGGGTCACCGATCCCGCCTTTAGCCAGAGAGGCCCCTCTACCTCTTACATTGCGGGGAGGAGCATGTCAGGCAGGATGATGGCCCAAGGTCAAAACCAGGAGGCAAAACTGTGACTTGTGTTAGGTTTAAGTGGGTCCAACCGTCTTCTCAGTGAGGACACCCGTGCAGGAGAAACATTGAGCTCTGCTTTCACTTCTTAAACAAAAATCTTCATTCTTCAATACAAATGCAAATTTCAAGCAAGACTGAAATTCCAATCTTTTTTATTCAATACAGAGAAGTACTTCATCTAACAGTTTGGGTCTGTTCCAGGAAAAACCACGAAACAAAGACATTCATCTACAGAGTTCACGCATCTCCCTGCCACAGGCTTCAGTCCGCCCAAAGCCCCCAAATCTACTGCCGGGTCATTCCTGCTTCCTGCCCTCAGACAGTGGACACCCACCCACCCTTACTGCTTCACAGTGATCTGACCCTCT